TCACCCACATACTCGCCGATGAAAGGCTGTGATGCGCTGTCAGGTACACGCTTGTTGTTGCATTGGTACTAACAAAACGTAAAATACTAACAGTATACTCGTGTAGCTCTACCGAGGTAACTTCTATATGCTTCAACTGAGTCACGATCGAGTAATCGACTGCACGCGTTTCGGTGGCCGCATGCGGTTTATAAACCACGCTTGTACACCGAATTACAGACTTGAGAAAATGGAATATTCGTGGCCACAAACAAAAACTATTGAGAACTTCCACGTGAGAGCGTTGTAGCGCTGGATCGCCCAATACTGCCAATGTCAAATAAGTGCACGTACCTCGACGTGGGGATGGTGAGGGGACGATGCCGTCGCCGTATTCGAAAATTAGACAATGTACACAGTTGCTTCAATATCAATTGTCAAACTTACGTTGAAATATCGAGCTACATTTTGGTTGAACTGTTCACTAACACACATGGTTTTCACGGCGAATGAGCGTCGCGAGCGACATCGGTTGGCGGTTCAACGATCGCGTGCACGAGAAACACCAACCGCTAGAGCTGAAAGACTGTGCCGCAATCGAGAGCGCTATGAGAGTATCAGTGTCGGCGAGCGACATGAGCGAAACAGGTTGGCACCGCCGATATCGAAGGATTCGAGTTGTGGCGAAAGTTTACCACAGTCGTAGTCCTCGAGGAATCTGTGCGTTTTCGAAACGACCACGAATGGGGGAAAGGATGCCGCCTCGCGCGTCTCGGACAGTGGACCCCAAGTTTCATCGATCTCATCAACAGCCGTGTCCTCGATCGTAGCCAGAACCATCAGCGCAACCATCTTGAGTCGCCTGCACCGCTTGAATACGACGATCATGACCCCGCGATTGGCGCCAATTCTGTGTTTGTGACGCCCGAAAACGTGACGCGCCTTGCAGTCAAAAACGCATATATTTCAGAAACGGCAAGTATGCTGCCGAGCAATGTCTTCCCCGTACGTGTCCTCGCGAATTTCAAAGGAGCGTTGAACGGTCTTAGCCGAAGTGACGTGCGGTATGTTCTCCGCCTTCCAGACAACCGCTTCGGTCGAATGGCCCCGTACCTGGATCTCATTCATGGCATGCCTGTCCAGATCACTCAAAATGTGGCCAAAACAAAAGGTGTAGCAAACGGCACGCTCGGCTGCCTCGAAGCAGTGCACTTTCCCAACGACACACAATTCCGCCTGGTACGAGATGGCGCGACGAACACGATTGTCCAAATGCCCAGTCGGTCTCCAGACTACGCCGTGCTTCGCGTGCCACACCGTCCTCACACGACAGCTATTCGACCAGGATTTGACCCGGAATTGTTTCCGGTGTTCTACGCGACTGAAGCGTACCAGAAAGTGACCATTACGCTTCCAAAGGCGCCCGACGGCCGCACACGGGCGATCACAGTCAAACCACAGCAGCTACCCTTCGTCTGTGCCATCGGCTCCACCGTGTACAAAGTTCAAGGCGAGACTCTCCACTCGATGGTTGTTATGGACTGGAAATCCAAACAGAGCGCCGTCAACAAACCGCAGCAAACGTATCTGCTTGTATCCCGCGTAACATCCCGAGATGCACTGCTCGCATTAAATCCATTTACCAACGACCTAGCCGCGTGGTCGAAGCCACCTGCACCTGCACTAAACGAAGAAGAACGGCTCTGCCGCCTCAGCAACATCACCTTGAAAAAATTTCAGCAATCGCTGTCTGCTAACGCGACCACCACCACAACCGAAACGGGTCTTCCGGATAACGCCGCCTTCGGATCTTCCGAATAACGCCGCCTTCACTTCGTCTGTTTGTTAAATCATGAAGTGTTAGTATTCAATAGCCAAGCTGTCCATATTAAAGAATCATCACCAACCTTGTTGTTTCTTGTGGCCAGCGAAACCACGGTGTCCTAGTTGCCCCCCACCGACTTGTCACCTTT